TAAACCTTTCCTTTTTCTTAGCCGACTCACCTTCACTTTTCATTCTTTTTTATTGACTCAAATATCTTGGTATTCCACTTGCTTAGCTCTTACCACTTTCTCTTTTGTTTTCTGCGTTTACTTTTTTCTCTTTCTTACTTCACGTAACCGACCCAGCAGGGACTGCTAGGGCAGAATACGTGGGCATTAATTGGTTGGACAGGGTGTGATGCGGTCTTTGTTTTAGGTTTATCAGTATTTCAAAATTCGCTAACTCCTGGTTCAACGACCCGCCGAAGAAGGAACACTCACGGGATAATCCTATCGTTCCAGTCCCGCTTGAACTTGACTGCAGGTGTGGTTCAAGTTGCTGACCAGAATGGGGAACGTCCCTATCGCTAAGCTAAATCCACCCCCCGACTATTTCGCGTGGCCCTTTCGACCCCGGAGGAACGCAAATCATTACTGCGGTTTGCATTCAAACTTAAGGGCAGTTGTGTCAGCGTTCAGCCGGACCTACCACTGGCAGCTAGACTGAAGTTAAAGGAGGCTATCAAAGACCTCAAAACTAGACGGGCGGCTGGTGAGCAAGGCCTCCGTCTGGTGGGTTTTCAGGTGGTCAGCCGGAAGTTACTTTCCGCCCTATCAGCACCCATCCTGATGACGCACGGCCCATGGATGGTCGTGCCGACTTCCATGAGGTAGTACTTAGCAACGTGCGTAGCCTAAGGAACAAGGTGCACGAGTTGGGGCTACTTGTAGACAAATTTCGTCCCGACATACTTGCTTTCACTGAAACGTGGTTATCTCCGGATATCACGGACGGTGAGGTATGTTTACCTGGCTACGCGCTGCTTAGGACTGGTCGCTCTGTTGCTCGCCAAGGCGGAGGCGTTGTACTGTATGTGAGCTGTAACTTAGATGTGTTGAGGACCTGCACATTCCAGTCGTCGGATCAGACTGTTAAAGCCCTATCGGCTGTTTTGTGCACCTCCTCTACCCAGTTTACAGTTATAATGATATACAGAAGTCCTGGAAGTTCTTCCAGGGGGATACATGACTTTATTCGCACTCAGTCTGCGAATAAGTGTTTGGTTCTAGGGGATTTCAACCTCCCGGAAGTCTGTTGGGTCGATCTTTCTTGCAATTCGGCATTAGGAACATTCGGTGCAGACTTCCTTGAACTGACTCTCCAAGTGCCTTTGCACCAGTTCTTGGCTTTTCCCACTAGGTATATGGACAACCAAATACCATCTACTTTGGATTTGGTTTTCGCTATGTCCCTAGATTTCGTGACTGACGTTTCATGCGGTGCACCTCTAGGGTCTAGCGATCACGCATGCATATCCTTTCGATGTGCTCTCTTAAGGCACCAAGAGACCGCTGTTGAGTTACTTCCGAATATTTGGCGGGCGGACTTTAGTGCAATGCGAGCTAAGGCTTCAGTTCTGAACTGTGAGATCTCGATGGCTGACTCTGTCCAGTTAGCCTGGGATAAATTTAAGGCATACCTTACGGAGGCTTCCACTCCTTATATTCCACTCATTAGGAAAAGAGGGTTAAGGGCACAGCCTCCATGGATAGATACCACAGGCAATACCTACTCAAGAAACGGCCTAGATGTTGGCGAACCTACCAAGCAGCTCCATCAGCCAGTACCTATGATAGTTATCGAGAGAATAGAAATAAATCTAATCAACCTCTCAGAACTATTCGTCTCCAATACGAGCAGGGTTTAGCGGATTCGGCCGCAGCTAATCCCAAGAAGTTCTTTGCTTACGTTAAAAGACGCAGCGGGGCAAAACTGTCTATACCAGCTTTATTGCGAGCAGACGGGACCCGTGCGCAAACTGACTATGACAAGGCTTTAATACTGAGTGATCAGTATACTGGGGTCTTTGCTCGGGAGACCTCTTTACCACAGGTTGAATTGGTTTCAAGAGTTCCAGAGGATTCTTGCTTAGCTGAATTTAGCATAACGGAGACTCAGTTCTTCGAGCCACTGCAAGGTATTAATCCCTCTAAAGCTTCCGGTCCTGATTCAATTCATCCGAAGCTGTTGCATGAACTGGCCACTGAACTGAGTGGTCCGCTCACGTGCGTATTTTTAATATCGCTATACAGCTGCAGCCTACCTTCGGAATGGAAGGAGGCGAGAATCTGTCGGATTTTTAAGGGCGGTGACAGCGCTCTACCCGCGAACTACCGGCCTGTCAGTTTGACAAGCGTAGTAGTCAAGTTGTTTGAAAAGCTGATGAAGGATTCAGTGGAGAATCACCTGAATCGATTCAACCTTCTCAGTGTTGCACAACACGGATTCCGCAAAGGATTTTCATGTCAGACTAATTTACTTGTAGCTCGTGAAAGCTGGGCCGAAGCGGTAGACAGTGGCCACGCTATAGACGTGCTATTCGTAGATTTTTCGAAAGCTTTTGACACTGTTCCACATCTTCGGCTCTCACTAAAGTTGAGATCTTACGGGATATCTGGTCGCGCCCTTCAATGGGTGTCTGCCTTCCTTGAGGGAAGGGAACAGTGCGTACGGGTGGGGGTAGCCTTTCGCTCAGGCAAGCTGTCCTTGATGGCGTTCCGCAGGGCTCGGTATTGGGGCCATTGTTGTTCGCGATCTATGTAAATGACTTGCCGGGAGAGCTAGGGGTGTCATCATTAATGTTTGCTGACGACCTTAAGATCTGGAATATTGTGGATATCCCGTGGGGGGGGGGGTCCTGAGGCAATTCAGCGTGCCTTGGATAGGCTCTGGGAATGGTCTATCTTATGGTTGATGCCCATGAATAGGGCCAGGTGCTCTGTTCTTCGAATCGGGGCTGCAAATCCTGCCACCCGATATGTTGTCGGCGGTGGTGAACTCCCTGTTGTCACTCAGCAGGTTGATTTAGGAGTCGTACATGCATCAGCACTTCATTCTGGAGACAACTGGAAGAAGGCTGCTTGTCGAGGGTTTCGTATGATGTGGTTTATTCGCCGCTCTTTCGGAATCTTAACGGCCAAATTGTTTGTGAAGCTATTTTCGGCATTCGTCCGACCCCACCTGGAATATTGTATTCAGGCTTGTCCACCATGTCTTAACCGAGACAAAATGGACTTGGAGAGGGTGTTACGAGTGGGCACTCGGTTAGTGCAGGGTCTACGGGGACAGACGTATCCTGAATGCTTGCTCAGTTTGGGTATGTACTCCATGCACTACCGAAGGATAAGGGGGGACCTGATTCTCACTTATCGTATTTTGACGGGTAAGATTGGCCCGGACTTGTCAGGGCTTTTTAGTCCCGCTACGTTACCTAGTCTCCGCGGTCACCCACTGAAACTGCATAAACCATGGTCTGTTAGGAGTGAGACGGAAACTCGTCTATCGCGCCGAGTTATAGATCGCTAGAATTCGCTCCATCTACGTAAACGATCTCCCTGGAGAGCTTGGGGTATCATCCCTATTGTTTGCTGATGACCTTAAGCTACGGAATGTTGTAAATGTTCCTGGGGGTTCTGAGGCCATATAGCATGCACTGGACAGACTCTGGGACTGGTCTACTTCGTGGCTACTGCCCATAAGTCAGGCTAAGTGTTCCGTCCTTCGTATAGGAGCAACTTTCCCGCCTTCGTGCTACGTACTCGGTGGGGTCGAACTCCCCCTTGTCTCCAACCAGATAGACCTAGGTGTCGTTCATTCCTCGTCTTTGCATTCTGGTGACAACTGGAAGAAGGCCGCTAGTAGGGGTTTCAGAATGTTATGGTTAATACGCCGTTCTTTCGGGGTCTTAACTGCCGGCATATTTGTGAAGCTGTTCTCAGCTTTCGATCAGCCTCATCTGGAATACTGCGTCCAGGCTTGCGCGCCCTGCCTTGTTCGGGACAAAATGGAGCTTGAGAGGGTTTTGAGAGTAGGTAACAAATTGGTCGAGGGGTTACAGAGGCAATCGTACCCCGAGCGTCTACTTAGCTTGGGTATGTATTCAATGCACGACCGACGGCTTCGAGGAGACCTAATCCTTACTTACCGCATTTTAACAGGGAAGGTTGGGCCGGACTTGCGCTGACTATTTAGCCAGGCTAGGTTGCCTTGTCTTCGCGGTCATCCCATGAAGCTACACAAGCCGCGTTCTGACGGGATCAGGGCGGAACTCGGTTATCGCGTAGAGTTATCGAGCGCTGGAACTCGCTTCCAGAAAATGTAGTCAGTGAACCTACGGTTAAGGGGTTCGAGCGTCAGTTAGACGCTCTTGGGTGGCAACACGGAACCTTTCCCTTCTCCTGACCATATCCATCTTCAAACTTTCAGTTCTTATTCTGTCATTATCTTCACTCTTTGGTGTTATCCTTCATTTTAATGACTTTCATTCCCCTTTATCTTCCATTTACTTTCTACTTCTTTCTTACTTCACGTAACCTACACAGAGCGGACTGCTAGTGCAGGGAACGTGGGCAGTAATTGGTTGATCAGGATGTGTTTCGGGTGTTT